ATTCTCAATACAACTATGTTCATGTTTGATTTGGTGAAAATAGGCATGACCCGAAAATTCAATTTGAACTCGGCACAAAAAAATCGTGCTTGAGCCTAAAAAAAGGTCAGAAATTCTCGAACCGTGTTTGGCCCGGTACGCAAATAAATTGGATTGTGTTTGGGCCCGTTGAGGTCAGGTCATGCCTGCCTAGCCCGATAATAAATTAAACTATATTTTTAAAAAATACTTTTATATAAAAGAAAAATAATTATATAGCAAAATTAAAGATATAATCTAATCGTTGAGATATAATGTTATATCTATTGAGTTGTGGGATCAATTTTCATCAACTTAGTTTTTATTAAATAGTTTTATATTTTTTAAAAGATAAATTGAAAAAAATACAAAAATAAATAAATCAAGGCTTCCCCGCATGATGGTGAACCGGTCTGTGTCTAAACCCAAATATTTAGGCTTGATATAAAATTGAGACGGTATGTTCTTAATCGGGTTGTGTTTGGGCCTGAATATTAAGGTTCGATATTAAATCGGCATGCTCTTAACTGGATCGTGTTCAGGCCTAATATTTAGATCCGAAAAAATTGGGCTGGCATGTTCACGGCCCACTTAAAATTGAGCCAACATGTTATTAACATGACCATGTTCAATGCCCATTTAATTTGTATATATATATATTTTTTAAAATTTTTAAAATTTTAATTTTAATTAACTATTTATATATTTTAATATTAATTTATAATTAGTTTTTTATCCAATATTTATTTTTATTAATACAATTATTAATTTACTTACTACTTGTATTTTAAATTTTCGTATACAGTTTATCCAAAATGGAGGGAGTATTGTTTATATTATCCGAATATGTGATTTATTGTAATTTTTCATTAATAGTCATTAAGGGTGTGTTTGTTTGGAGTTTAGATTTTGAGTTGGAATTTAAATAGTAAAAATTTTGAATTTGAATAGTTGTATGATGTGATATAAATAGATGTTGATGTCACGTTTTGAATGTAAAATTGATTTTTAATATAATATAAAAAATAAAAAATATGTGTTTGATTTAATGTTTTTTAGGAGAAAAAATGGGATGAACAGTGGATTAGAAATCCAATTCCCCCAAACAAACACAACCTAAATGTGGATATGTGTATATTATATATATATATATTTATGTAATCATATACTTCATATAAATATTCAATATATTTACAATATATAAATTGTATCGATAATATAAATATAATATTTTATATTAAATTATTGATTTTTGTGATAGAATATATCCTCTATATATTATTTATATTATGTGGACGTATGTATGTACAGAGGCTGTCTTGACTTTCGAAGAGTCGAGACGAAATAAAAGTTAGAGATCCATAAATATATATAATATTTTTTTTACATATAATAAAATATAAATAATAAAAAAAATATTTTTTACTAGTATTTTGATGCAAAAAAATATCAATATTAATAATAAGGCAAAATTACCAATAATTCCAATATCATTTTGAAACCATAAATTGTTTAGATACTTTAAAAATTGCGTAGATGGAAAATCATCTTCTCATCATCCGAAAATGTAAAACAAGTTTCATGCAACATTTTTAAAGTATAAGAGGGTGTCGTGCAATTTTTAAATTAGAGAAATAATTTAGGCTGGGTTTGAAAATAATAAAAGAGTTATTGACAATTTTGTCTAATAATAATAATAATAATTGTCTAATACTTATTTTCTTTTTAATTTTAAAAATAAAAAATAAAAGACCTCTATATATATAAATGATGTATTTTTTTTTTTTTTTACCTATAATAGAATATAAAATAATTAGATAAAATAACTCTCTTTTAGCATTTTTAGATAAAATAACAATAATAGTATTAATATTAATTTAGTCTAAAAAAATTTAAAACAAAAATGACGGGCTCCTAAATATTTATAAATAATATATATATTTTTATCTATGATAAAATATAACTAACCGAATAAAAAAATTTCTAACATTTTTATATGCAAAATATTAGTAATAATATTAATATTAATTGTCTAATATATAAAAAAAAAATATTTTCAAATTTTAAAGGTACATGAATTTGAGTAGTACATGTAATACTTAACCATGAAATCATATTATGTTACTAATACATTAAAATAAAATAATATGTATATATAAATATTTTATGTATAACATAAATATATAATAGACCTCTATTTAGATTGGGCTTTGTCTAGGCCCAGGGCCTGCGTATATATAATGTTATACTCCCTTAGTCTCATATCTATATATCCATTTACTTTTTGGACGAAATTTTAGAAATATTAGTATTATATTGAGATAAAGTAGAAATAAAAATAAAAAGACTAAATTAACCCTATTAGTATTGTATGATATAAAGTTAATAACATTTGTGTAATATATTGTAAATTATAAGAGTATTTGTAATGTTAGATAATCATACAATTACTTAAAAAGAAAATAGATACTTTGTTATTGAATGAACCAAAATGAAAAAATAGATAGATTGTTAAAAGACAAATATAGTAATTTTTATTAATATTTATCGGAATCTTGCCAACAAAATAGTATTGGATGGGTAGATTAAGTATGAATATGTGTATATATTATGTATATAAATATAATGTATTTTTGTAACCATATACTCCCTCGTAATCATATACTCCCTCGTAGACACGAGAATTTAGGTAAAATATAATTAGTAAATAATTAAAAAGTGTATTAATAAAAATAATTATTATTTAGTAAAAATAATTAAAGATTAAGATTAAGATAAGTAAATAGTTTAATTAAAATTAAGAAAATTATAAAATTTAAAATTTAAAATGCGATTAAAGTACATAATTATATTTCCAAAAATAGAAATGACAAATTATGTGGGACGGACGAAAATAAAAAATAGGGACAAATTATGTGGAACGGAGGGAGTACTTTATATAAATATTCAATATATTTACAATATGATTCAATAAATTTATATATTTAATTTAGAAAGTAGATAGGGCAAGTGAACTTGGAATGGCTTAATTATTGATAATTACCATACATACATGGTTATTTCTATTTGATTATATGATGCAATTTAACATTAGTAACTATGATTAAAGTAATATGTGAAATCTTTTATGCTAATTACTATTTAAAACAATAGTTCCTAAAAATGTTAGAAACAAAATTTATCTAATGATGTAATAGACCACATGATAAGAGTAAATAATGCATTCATTTTACATTTTTAGCATTTCTAAAATCAATATTTATATACGATTTTTAATAAAAATATATTATTATTATTATTTTTTCATACAAATATCACATCAAACTATCATAATACAAACATGGATCACTTAAACAAAAACAAATCAAAAAATTTAGTTGATATAAATTTGTGACATAAATAACTCAAATGAAATTGTCTAGTAACATTTTTTTTTTGTCTTACATGTTAAACAACAAAAAAAAAAAAAATACAACATGCCAAAAAAGGAAAATAAAATCCCTTCTTGCTTGGTATTCGAATGTTCGACTTGTCATTCGATACGCGGGAAACACGGGGCACGTTGATGTAATATATTGCGTAAGAACTTTATTTTGCACGTGATCATTGTAAATTCTGACGACTTTCGAAATCGAATGATATAAGTAGTATATTCCTTTTGTTGTTTGTTGTCGTTCTTGATTTAAGTTATTTCAAACGAATTTATTGAAAGGTCAACTTAAATACGACAATAATAACTATACATTTTCATTCAAAAATTAAATCTTGCGCAAATATTTATGATCCATTGAAGCTTTGGATGTATGAATACCAAATTTGGCTAGTGTCGGGATAATACATTCTATAAAATTTACACGTGTGTTAATTCACATAATATTATTTATATCTTTATTCAAGTAAATTTCAATAATTGCGTAAATCGTGTGAACGTTGACTTATTATAATTATGTTGTTAATCATTAAGCTTCAAAAACTCAATTAAGGAGACGGATATAAATAACTTTTTTTGCATTGACTATATCAAGGTAAAGTTATTTGGTCAACGTATATTTTTAACAAATTTTTATTTTTATTTTTATCAAATATAAAGAAATTTACTCTTATTGTCGTCATGAATAACTACGATAACAATAATCAGTTTGTTGTTGAGCATTTCAACATTTGTTCATACAAAACACATAACATAAACAAGCTTCAATGTGATATTACATTTCGTTCAAATAATAAATACAAATATAAATTATACAAATATTACATCTATTTTAGAAATCCAAATTCGTAAAATATTTTCGCAAAAACGTTATGCTCGATAACTTGCAAGAATTATACATTCCAATTTTTTGTTATTACATTATTTTTTTAAACAAGATTATTAAGCTAACACATTGTTATACTTAAGTCAACATAAAAGTGTTCATCTTCATCCTCCTTCAAACCAATATTTCCCCGACCAAATCTCGACGGAATTTCACGATACTTGGCTCTATAGATTCATAAACTAGCCTAGTATCATGTCCAATTTGAATTTTTCCAAAATTTTATGAGCATTTTCAGATAATGTCCCAAAACCACTGAACACTCCATGAGAAGTCATATCTTGACCACTTCGTAATCAAAATGCAATATCTCCTAAATTACTAATCCTCAAAATGCAAATAAATACTCTACAGAAAGCTTACGAAATTTTGCACACAATGGAAAAAAAATCATGGAAATTAGTCACGTGTAGCTCAAGTTATTTTTAATTAAATCAAGCTTAGAAACACACTTTATGTGACCAAAATAGCCAACCTTGATGTACAATCCTATCCTATCCATCCTACTCATCAAAAGCCTGCGCCGTAGATCAGATCCCATCGGACGGTCCAAATTCAAAATTTGGCTGCAGCGGCGATCCGCGTCATTCACCTCTCGACCAATCAGATTTCACCTACCGGAAATTGGCTGTGAACGCTCACTATTTAAATCCGTCGAATTTTAGCTTCACACTCACCCTTAACCTGACGAAGGCATCATCATTTCGGTGCATAGATCTGTTCTCTCCAATTTCCCCAATTTCCCAAAACCCTAACCCTAATTTTAGCTTTGGTGAAGTTGCTTGGCTATGGCTGCCACAGAAGAGCCTAATGTCCCTGCCGCGCCGGAGGAAGTGGAGCCGGCAGTCGAGGAGCCTCTGAAGGAAGATAATCCCCCGGCGAAATCGGGGAAGGCGAAGAAGGCTGCTGCGTCCAAGGAAGCTAAGCCGAAGAAAGTTCCTGCGCCGAAGAAGCGTAGTGCTCCGACACACCCGCCATACTTTGAGGTATTCGATTGATTGATTGATTGGGTTGAATGTCGTTTGTGTTGGATTTGGATCTGAATTGTTTTGTGTGCATGCAGATGATTCAGGATGCGATCGTGACTCTGAAGGAACGGACTGGATCGAGTCAATACGCGATTGCGAAGTTCATCGAAGATAAGCATAAGAATCTGCCGCCGAATTTCAAGAAGCTTTTGTTAGTTCAATTGAGGAAGCTGGTTGCCAATGAAAAGCTCGCTAAGGTTAAGAATTCATACAAGCTGCCTCCTACTCGTCCTTCCAGGGCGGCGGCTGCTGCTGCGCCGGTGAAGAAGACGGTCGCCGCAGCCAAGCCGAAGCCGAAGCCGAAGCCCAAGGCGAAGGCGGTTGCTACCAAAGAGAAGAAGCCAGCCGCCTCAAAGGCCAAGCCAAAGCCGAAGCCAAAGCCTAAGGCTACTTCAGCGAAATCCAAGACCGTCGCAGCTGCAAAACCGAAGGCAGCGCCGAAAGCCAAGCCAGCTGCCAAATCCAAGCCTGCTTCTAAGGCGAAGGTTGTGACTCCGGTGAAGGCAAAGCCTGCGCCAAAGAGAAAAGCTCCGGAAAGGTCGAAGACGGAGAAGAAACCGCCTGCAAAGGTCGCGAAGACGTCAACAAGGTCAACTCCTACAAGGAAGGCGGCGGCAGCGACAAAGAAACCAGCTGCAACCAAGAAGGCGGCGCCTGTGAAGAAGACTCCTGCCAAGACCGGGAAGCAAAAGACGGCGAAGTCTCCGGCGAAAAAGACGGCGGCGAAGAGGGGGAAGAAGTGATTCAGGAGGGTAGAATTGAACATCTATGTTTGTTTGTGGGGATGTTATTGTAAATTTAGTAATAGCGATCTTGTTGCGCTCATGAAAGAATCAAATTGTTGATTTTTTTTTTTCTTCCCTATCCTGTTTTGATTAATTTAAAATCTTGATTATTCTTCCCTTTCCCTGAAATTCAGTGTCTTGTTTATGGGTTCGATGCAGTACATGCTTCTTAGCTTAAACCGTTTAACCATAACATTTCGTTTGATTCTCTCCTCGTCTTGTGTGCTTTAGCTGATTAGTTGCTTGTAATGGTGCAGCTAGGGTTTTGCTCGGGACTGGTGGAAGGCTCGGTTGAATGCTTCTTCATTCGCAGGCAGAAAGGCATGGAGCTATGGAGTGAGGTATGTATGCTAGATTCAATGCGGTACATAAGTGCAGCATATCATCTAATTTCACTGGTAAATCTGCCTACTTTTGGTTGAATTCTTCGGACTTGTTTGCTTGTCATTGATCAGCTATTTGTAGATTGTTACATGTCCTGCACAACTAATATTGTATTCTCTATACTACTCTTGGGTTTACTTCGAAGAGGAGAAGATATTTATCGCTAGGTTATTGGAGGAATTATGTAATGGACTGATAAGTTTGGTGTTAATTGTTCATTTTAGTTTTTGAATATGCATTGGATAGTTAAGGTTTAACTTTCAGCTTTGTGGGGTTAGGTTTTCTTCCCCCAATCTGGTGAGGAAGCAGCTTCATGTTGTATAAGTTCTGAAATGATATCGAACTCGAGAGAGACACACACACCATGAAGGAGATATTGGAAGGAAGGTACTATTATAGGTTGATAATCTCCAAACTGAAATACTTGTTTGATTTCCCTGATAATTGTGTTGTCGTGCTCTCTGACACTGATTGTTCAATGTGCTCATTGGCGCCTGATATGAGATGCCGATTACCAAGGCACATTAGCAAGCCGTACTCCTATTCCAAGTAAGAGAATTGGGATTTGAACTATGCTTTGTTTTTAACTACTCTGATAGGTGATTATGTGCATGTGCTAGAGCTTAGTCGTAGTAAATAGTAATCTAAGATGGTGCCAAAACAAAGTAATTATTGATTGTTTGGATATTTAGTTTGCACAATAGAGTTGACATATATGTTGGACAACTAAAATCGATACATTTAAGGAAACTAGGAAAGTAATAACCATGCATAAAAGCTTGAGAATTAAACAATGCTCTCAAAATCTCCAAATACCAGTTGCTCATTGAAAAAAAATGAAGAAAATAGGGAAGTGATGAGCATGCATAAAAGCTTAAAAAATTAAACATTGCTCTCAAAATCTATTAAACATTGCTCTCAAAATCTCCAATAGGTCCTTTTACTTCTAAATACTTCTCAAGCATTAAATTAAATGCTTCATTTGGTCGAGATAGTGTAATATTGGTTAAACACTTCGGGATACTTATTGTCATGAATAATAAATGCACAATTCCGACAGCTTAAAAAGGAAAGTGAGACATGTATTTAGGTACAAAGCGAGCTATATGCTGTAAAAGCATATGTGATGCAATAGATGACGTGATGACGGTTGCTTGCTTCTAGGCAGATTGTCTTGCCGCAAAAACTCATTTTGCTTTTGTTGTTATATGAAGTTTTGCATTTAAAAAAACCAAAAAAAAATTGGTCTCACTTAGAGCTAAATGAAGTATGCAAATATATATTGACAACATAGATTCTTGTCAACATTCATTTTTTTTCCCCTTTCGGTTTCCAGTTCCTTCTAGTTTGTTACTTGTTATTCACTGAATGAAATGGCAAGAACTTATGTTATTGCAGGGGAATTTGCAGAATCCTTATGAATGGTGGAGCAAATGTCTGCATGACAACTAATCATTCGTATAATTTTAACAATAACATACCCGTATTCTGAAGGAGAGTCATGGACTCGCAGACATCGGATGCAAATAACAATTTGATAGTTAGATGGTGTTTTGGCGTTCAACCATTGCAGACTCAATTTCCCGGTAAATAATTGTGCTTAGAACTTTCTTGATTGGTGGATAAATTTGAAGTGTTCAATTTTTTCAGTGTCTGAAATATCTAGAGAAGTATTTCTGGTTTTAATGACTGAGTTTTTGTTATATATGGTATGGCTCATTACACGTGTTCCTGTCTGTATTTCTATTTTAATGCTGTCTTAGCTCATTGGTGGTTTGGCCCAAATAGTTTTCATGTGAAGCTCTTGATTGCCATATTTAGTACACTCGTGAACTCGCCACGTGGCATGATGCTCGCTGGAGGATCTAGAACAGAATTCTGGTTGAAAACTTTCTCCAATGCTTTCACTCTTTTCATCTTGATTTTCTTGATGATAAATTAAACATGAAATAATATCCCATTTTATGTTCGTGGCGACATTAGTAAGTTAGATTCATGCGCGCACAAATTTAATAATATTCTACCTGTTTAGACGGCTTCTTTGCTCGTTGACTGCTATCCTGTCCGTTCAAAATCATTCTCGATTAGTTACTTTTTGCTTTAAATTTCACATAACTTGGTGTATTTTCACAATCTGTTATTTTTTTATTTACGCATTGTCGTCACCTTGAGCTATTTGATTCTGTAAATGTTCTCAACATGAACTATTATTGCAGAGTGAGCTGCCGTGTTGACGACATGAGCTTAAAATAAATGATTGCCTCCCGATTCATTTCAAAACATTAACTGGTAAGAATCGTGCAATTTCTCCTTTTAATTGCAGCAAACTCTCCGGCACTGAAAAATCTACTCGGGATTGACTCATTCTCCCTCTATCCAATGTTCTTACCATGTTCAGTTGTTTTAAGGTTAGTTCTCATATTTGTATTCTTTCAGACAGTTCTCCATACTTCCTCATTCTTGTTACTCAGGTCGACACTGAATTCTCGTTTCCTTTGATCTAACAGGACTCTTTTTAACATTTGTGGATCTGGATGCCAAAATCCACAAGGAGATGATGATTGTGTGACGTCTCTGCCGACATGAACCAATAATGCCTTCTCCTCCGGTAATGCTGCTGTAAGTTTCTTGCATCCCCTTTAGATGCTTTTATGCATACCAAGCTTTAAACAGATCTTTATGTCGAAATTTTTGGGATTGAAAAACCTCAAATTTCTTACACCCTTTGCTTGAATAACATATTTGCTGGGGGACTGCTTTGCTTTGTAGCTTTTTTATTGATTTGGGAACAATAAAAACTTAAATTGGATGAAATATTTGATACTATAATATTTCTAATTCAAAATAATAGTTTGGTGAGACATTTTGCAAGAACAAAAAGATATTTTTATTAGGAATCGTATATAGTTACCTGTGTAATAAGGTATATGTATGTTGGCCTGTACATTCAATTATGATTTTGAGCGAGCTCGAGTATTGATTGCTCAAGCTCGATTCAAATTTGTTAATCATACCGACTCGACTGGTTAAAAATTCGAGTTAAAATAGTGGCTCGAGTTTGGCTTGTCAGACACAAATTCAAGCTTGAGCTTGACTTGTTTGTCTCTATACACGAGCTGGGGTCGAGCTTCATTTAAAATTGGGTGGCATGCGATGACTTGAAGGAAAATCACTCAAATTGATTGAAGAAAAAAGCGAAGAAGAGTTGGAATAGCTAGCTAGAAATTGTTGAATTATATATTGTTTCTAACTATCTAGAAAAGTAAGGAAGAAAATGTAAGACGGCGAAAAAAAGAATAAGAGATATAGTTTGGGTGAATGGTTTCTTGATCCTTTCTCGGCTGTTGCTCCATCTCATTTTGTGCTTCTCAATTTGGCTAAATTGCACAAAATTCACAATTGATTTTTTGAAATTGCGACAAACTCTCTCGTAATTTCATAAATTCTGCTTCTAATCCCTCGACTTTCCTTATTTAAGGTATTTGACCTAAATGTGATATATTTTTAATTTTAGGTGGTTAGAAATTGAAATTTTAAAATTTATTCGCAGTTTGGGCGTATTTAGGCAATATACTATTAAATAAGGATCGCCGAGGGTTAAATGCAGAGTTTATAAAATTACGATAGAATTTGACACAATTTTAAAATTATAAAAAATTTGACGCAGTTTCGTAAAACTACATGCAAGTTTTGCACAATTTAGCCTTTCAATTTCTCACAAATTGTTTAATGTTGCTATGTTTTTTCATTCAACTCCCTTGCAGTCAATTTACTTTTCAAGTCCCAACTTTAGTAGCATGTAAACTAAGACTATCTAGTTAGGTATAATGAATTTGAGATTTATATATTTTCGTCCCATATAAAATGTTTATTTTTTTATTTAATTTATTTTTTTAGAAAATATAATTATATTTTAATTTTAATTTATAATTTTTTAAATTTTAATTATAATTATATAATATTTTCTCAATCTGGCTCAAAGGGTCTCATTTATCTTTTATGTTATTATATTTAATATTAAAAATATTTCTATATTTGTATAATTTTTTGTACTAATATTATTATAATAGTATTATAAGACACTATTAATAAGTATTTTTGTCATTTTCATTGATTTATACTATGTTTTTATATAATAATAAATGCAAAAAATAAATGAGATTTTTAGAGTCAGATGAATGTAGTAGTTATTTTTATTAATATGTTTTTTAGTTACTTATTATTTATTCTATTTTAAAAAATAATTATATATTAATACATAACTATTTTTAATTTTTATTTAAATTACAATATTTTATATAAAGAACAAAAATATCATAAATTCTTTAAGTATTTTCTACTCTAATAAAATTCCAAAGGAACTTTTTATTTAAAACGGAGGAAGTATGCTTTATCTAAATTGTTGTGTTACGAACATTTTCTTGGGAACGGCGGGAATTTTAATTTGTTAATACAACTTAGCCTCTAAGTTGGCCTATAATTTAGAGCCCATCGTCTGTATTTTTTGGCCCAAATTTGAAGCTTGTTAGACCTTTTTATGCTCAACTACTACTATAACGAATTCCTGGTTTTTCTTTTTAGTGATTTTGTATTCTTATTGATTTCGATTTCGGTCGGACTTTGGAATTCTCGCTTTTGCAGCCATCCGCCAACGGAGGTGCTGTGCAATTTCTGGAGTGCTCCAGCCATGGTTTCAAGGACGTTAGGAAAGCATTCTCCTTCTGCTGCATCTCTTATCGCCGGTAATTCAGATGGAGGAAAGCTTGCAACGATGTTCATAAACCCACGCGATTCCGACCTATCGAAACCTACCGCTCAAATCCGAGGTCGGCCAGGAAGGCTCCGGAGGAGAGAGTCAGAAATCAACGCAAATGACGCTCTGGAAAAGTTCGACGAAATGCTCCGGATGCAAAACCTACCGCCGATTTCGTCGTTCAATTCGCTTTTAGGCGCGGTTGCGAAGTCCAAAAGGTACGGTGATTTGATTACAATGTTCAATCGTATGGCGGAGGCTGATCTCCCAACCGACTACATCGGAATGAACATTTTGCTTAATTGCTATAGCGAATTGAAGAAGGTCGGTTTAGGTTTCGCAGTTATGGGTAAAATATTGAAGAGAGGTTATGAGCCTAACATTGTTACATTCACTGCATTGATAAAGGGGCTGTGTTTGGAGGATAAAATAGGCGAAGCTGTGGCATTGTTGAGGAAGGTAACTCGAATGGGGTTTAATCCTACTGTTAAAACTTGGGGGACTTTGATCAATGGATTATGTAGAAGTGGCAATGCTGAGGTAGCTCTGAGGTTGCATAAGGAAATGAAGAATAGGAAGATAGCCTCTTGTTTGAGATTCAACCCTAGTTTGATTTACTATTCATGTCTTATAGATGGTGTTTGTAAGGAAGGGTTGATTGAACAGGGGAAAGAGCTGTTTGCAGAGATGGAGGGGAAGGGTATATCGGCGGATGTTGTAGCATACGCTGCGTTGATCCATGGATTATGTCGGAAAGGGGAGTTGGAGCAGGGGAAGGAGCTGTTTATTCGGATGGTGGATCGAGGGATTCGTCCGAACGTTGTGACGTTTAATATATTGATGGATGCGCTCGGGAAAGACGGGAGAACCGACGAGGCGGTTGGGCTGTTGGAGCTGATGATTTGTCGGGGGGAGAACCCCGATTCGATTTCATTCAACACTTTGATCGACGGGTACTGTTTGGAGGGAAGAATCGATGATGCAAGAGAGCTGTTTCTTTCGATGGCGGCTAAGGGTTACGAACGGGATGTCGAAACGTACAACGTGTTGATTAATGGGTATTGCAAGTGTAAAGAATTAGGAAAAGCTACCGATTTCTTTAAAGAAATGCTCGAGAAGGGTTACGAGCCGACGGTCGTTACGTTCAACACTCTGTTGAATGGTTTATTTCAAAGAGGTAAAGTTAAGGACGCGGAAGATCTCTACGCTAAGATGAAAGATCACGACGTTTCGCCAGATTCTGCTACATACAGTATATTATTTGATGGTTTCAGCAAGAACAATTGCCTCGATGAGGCCATGGAATTGTTCAAAAATCTCGAGGAGTCTGGCTACAAAATGAATAATTTACATTGCAACTGTTTACTCAATGGATTGTGCAAAGCAGGAAAGCTCGACTTGGCCTGTGATCTGTTCAGAAAATTTCCAGAAATGGGATTGGCGCCGGATGGCTATACCTATTCCATTATGATCGGTGGGTTTTGCAAGGAGGGGCAGCCGGAGAAGGCGACCGATCTGTTTCTTGAAATGGAAGCGAAAGGCTGTGCTCCCGATGTCGTCATCTTCAACACTCTTATGCGAGGATTCTGCAATAATAATGATGCAGGTAAAGTGGTTAAACTTCTCGATGAAATGGCGAAGAGGAATTTCTTACCTGATGCGTATACAGCAAGTATAGTGGTGGACTTACTGTCGAAAGATGAAAGCTATTCGAAATATCTTGACTTGATCCCTAGTTTTGCCAACCGGGCTAAGAAATAGATTCAATCAAAATGGTGATGTATGAATCATCGAAGTGGTTTTTGTTGCGCTAGCGAACATTTTCCTGATCGATGGCTCAGATACGTCTCGGGTGGATTTGACAATGTCGATGAATCTGCCGTGGTTCTTATCCCTGGACGCTACTAATTCAACGGCACAGGTGATTGGTATGCAGGTAATAAGAATTAAACATTTGCAGTAGAAATAGAAATTAATTTGTCTTCTTGATCTTTAGCATATATATACCATCTTTAAAATGATCGAGCAAGAAAATATGAACTTACCCGATATTAGATGATGTGTCTATAAGCTGCTTCTTTAAGGTAGTCCGTCCTAGGATCTTGGACAAGAACATCTTTCTAGGTTGAGGGGAATGAAGCCTGGTCCGAAATCATCACTTCCAAAGATGGATTTCGCACCAGACAACATTCCCCACAACGACGGGAAGAACTTAGGACAAAAAGATGCATTGTGTGTATTATTTCTCACAGAGTTTTGGTTCTCTTTATACCCGAAAACACAGTCGACGTAATAGATTCTCTTTTTCTTTCACATGACAAGGAATCCACTTTCAAACCCCCCCTCCCCCACCCCTTCTCATGGAATATCATCATTGTATGCAAGATTGGGACAAGAAGAAGCATTCATATTTACATCTACCTGTAAGTCAGTCCTTCAAAAAGATATAAAAGTGCATGTTATGTTTTTGTTCATTAGAATGTACTTTGCCTATCTTTTTGTAACTACTGTACAAATGTGCAATTTTGTAGCCTGCCATCAACACATGCTGCCACTTGGGTTAGTATCTATCAACTTTATTGAATTGATTTCTCCAAATATATTTTTAGGGTTGACATTGAATTTAATTAGATATTGACATTGTGTTTATTCTCCATCTCAAGTTAAGTATATATCTTTTGCTTGCCACTAAGGTAAAGGTTGCATTTTTATTTCTTTTTTTATGCTAATCTTATGGCTGAAGCTCATCTCATCTTATCTTGTTTAGTGTTCATACTAATACTTTTGGTGTCTCGGTTTTTATAGATTCTCACTGTAATGACCAACAATCTTGCAAGAACATGACAAGAAATGTTCTGTTTCTAACAAAGGATTTTTTACCTCAGATTTATTCGTTGCAGGTCCCGACATCCTCGGCCCTTACGGGTTCTAGCACGGTTAGAATTTCGCATGACGATTTCTTCAAAGAATTTTGTGTGAGCAGTGTGATTTCATTCTCCGGATGCTTCTTTAGCAGTGGCTCCCAAAATCCGTCGTCTTCGTTTAGGCTCGACTCTCCTAGAAGTTCCACGACCCGCTTCAGATTTGCGACGTTTCTCCCGGCCCCGCAACCTAAGGCAGTTGCGGCGCCCACTGCATTGGCAATTGTTAGTGTAGAGACGGACGGCATTTCGTGTATATAACCGAATGCAACAGCGGCCACGAAACTGTCTCCGCAGCCGACAGTGTCGATGACGTCCACGTTGAACGCCGGGGCGCAGGATATACTCGTGGGGGCGACGAGAATCGACCCCCGCGACCCCATTTTTATGATCACCCACTCCGTTCGTGTCCCTTCCCGGAGGAGCTCTTTTGCGGCGAGTATCGGGTCTTCTATACCCGTCAGCTGCTCCGCCTGGCGTACAATACCGATACAGATCATAGCTCAATCAACTGTGTGGATGAAAATCAAGAACTACTGTAAGTTCATACCTCTTCAGAAGTTAACAGAAGGACATCGCTCATCCTCAAGTACCGGTCGAAGGCGATTTGCTCGTCGGCACTGCCGTTGATCAAAGACTTCCCTCGTGGTCCGGGGTCGAAGAAGATTGCTGTTCCCTCTTCAATGGCGCAATCTAAAACAGACGTGAGTAGGCGCGGGGAAAGCTCGTCGAATCCGTAGCCGTTGCAGAAGAGGATCTTCGACCTCCTTATAGCCTTCTTCGTCTCCTCGGAGAGCGTCTGCATCCACCAGAATGCAGGGGAGTTGCTGAAATCTGCGCGGCTGAAGAAGAAGCGGAGAGCTGCGAATATCAGTCAAATGGAGGCTAAACCAAATCCCTAGTTTCAGCATTGGATCATCCATCGTACCTGCAGAAGCCATGCCTTTGCTGAGGATCGACCAACACCCAGCACAGAAGCGTCTCGTATTGTGTCGATGAAGTTTCGTCGACTGCATTTGGATCGTCCATTTCAGCCATGGCGATTCCTTCGTCGCGAAGTACATCCAAGAGGAATCGGCCGTAGATCTCGTCGCCGACGTGGCCGATTGTCACCAGATTAAGCCCTAACCTAGCTGCTGCTATGGCGACGTTGCAGTTACCGCCTGCTTCCCAGAATTCCTGCAAGGAATCAGTTAAGTTTTTTCCCTCTTCTTTTAAAAAAAATATTTCATGTTTCTGGTCTCGATCTCATCTACAAAATTGACAGTTTCGAGTTTCGTTCCAATGGCAGATGTACCTCTGACTTGTGACGGTTTCCATCGCAGTGCTTGAGATTCGAACAAAATCTAAGAGTTGGAGAAAAGCAAGTAATAGAAATGGAGATAGATATACGCAAACCTTATCAGGAGAAGACTTCGCCAATTCTTCCATGTAAGCTTTCCGTTCAGCCATGGCTTTCGGCGGAAGCTTCGGAACATTGAGCACAATGTCTACGCAGAGGTTTCCGACCGTAGCCACGTCGACATCCTTCTCTCCGACCGATTTAATCCTCTCCTCCTCCTCCTCCGCCGCCGCTCCATTTCCATAGCTCAGTCGCTGTCCAATCCCCTGACATTTCAAAGCCGAAGTACAGCGGAAATTCCTTCCGGCGACATACGAAGAAATTCTAGGGTTTCGGCGCCGGTTAGCGTGTGGAGTAAGGCAAGCAAAATTAAAGCGGACGGCGAAACCTGCTTGCGTCTGCATTCAGAAATTCCGGCGGCGATTGGATCGAAAGACAGAAATTCGAAGAGGAAAAAGCAACCAGGACCGCCAGAAAAAAGGTTAGTAGCGTTTCCTTCCTCTCCCCTTTTTGAAGGATTCTTAACGAACGATGATCCACGAATTGAATTGAAAACTGAAACAGCATAAATAATTTCCATTTCTGAATCTGGATTTCAAAATTTCTCAAAGTACACACACTCCCTCCACAAATTCATATTTCTTTCTATCATTACACTATAAAGATTATAAAGATCGAATGAATAATCAACATCAAAATCAGCTGTAGCATCTAAAGGTTGATTTCAGGCCTTGAGAATTCTCCCTCTCTGCCGAGTTCCTCGAGTCTGGTCACGATTTTCCGTGCTAAATCGTTGTAGGCTCGGCTGACAAATGAATTGGGACTTGATATCACGATAGGGATGCCTTCATCGGCGCCATGTCTGATCCCCGTCTCTAATGGTACCTACAATGATGGGATGGCCGGATTCAACATGTGCATTCACAAGTCGAATAGAAGATGCTTGAAGTTAAGACAACAAAGTAACATGTTCAATCCCATACACAGGTTAGTTCTAAATTAATATCATCTTTTTTACATGATGGTTTAGATTCAATTTCTTTTCGAAAATAAAAGATCAGTTTAGGTAGGTTTTCTTCGCCACATGGGAGCAAAGTCTCTTGAACTTAAACATTTTATGTACAAGATAATATTTAGATGCAATGTTACTAATAGTATGCATGTTAATATAATACCAATGCTGCATATGAACTGACATATATATATATATATATATATAACAATATTACGTATAATATATACTATCATCGATTTCAGTATAAATTGTATATTCCTATAGCACCTATCATATGCTGCTGACTAGGACTAATCAACATATTAGCCCTGTATTGATTAACTCTAACATAGGGTGTTTTTGTTTGGGGAATTTTCCCCAAAATTTACTATTTATCAATTGTTTTTTTCTCTGAGATTAAACATTTATTTTTCATTTTTATATTATACTAAAACTTAATTTTACATTTAAAATATTACATCATACAACTATTCTAATTCAAAATTTTACCATTCAAATCCCAATTTAAAATTCAAATCCCCAAACAAACACACCCTACAATGTTTTGGGATCAATAGTACCTCTCCAAGAAACTTCATGCCCATTTCTTGGGCAGTCTTCTGAGCTCCGCCTTTTCCAAAGATATAATACGGCTCCGAACAGTTAGGACATTTGAAGTAACTCATGTTCTCCAGGATTCCTAGAATCTGCGAGACATCAATTACACTGTCCGGATTTTATTACAGTCGACTGAATGTTTGGAGATGAATATGTATGTAAGCAAGCGCATACACTTCAAGAAATGTACGTACCGGGACATGCACCTGCGAGAACATTCCAACGCCTCTACGAGCATCCATCAATGCAACATCTTGAGGGGTCGAGACAATCAACGCGCCTGTCCAAAAATGCTTCGTATTATTTAGGTTGTCATTTCTTTGCAAGAAACATAAGCGCCTTTCTTGTCTGGAATCCTTAGAAAAGTATCGGCCGAATTAGGACAGAACAACAACACACCTGATAGTTGCAATCTCTGGGAGATGGAAATCTGAGCGTCGCCGGTGCCAGGTGGCATATCCACGACGAGAATATCTACGTTTCCCCAATTAACTCCTCTTGTCATCTGTTCAAGTGCTTTCATGACCTGAAAGGACATGAAAGCATCATCGACTCGGTTAATAATTCTTTAAAACAATACCATGATATTCTTACAAAAACTCCACCAATAACATAGAACAGGAAGATAGGAATCGGACAAACAACATAAACTTGCCATTGGACCTCGCCAGACGATCGCCTCCCCTTCCGGAATGAGAGATCCCATTGACATGCATTTGACCCCGTAGCTTTCGATAGGAGTCATTTTCCTAGCTGCAAAGAAGCCACACATGATTCTCAATATTCAAAGAAATCATCGCATTCAACCCATTGTTCAAACAAAAAATCCGAAAAGATAATCACAAAAGCTCGCCAAAATTCCCAAAGGGCTCTCTCTTTATTCCAAGATTTTATGATTCCGGGAAAAAAAAAATACATTGTTTTTTTCTCATAAATCATCACATTCAACCCATTATTTAAACAAAAAATCCAAAAAGATAATCACTAAAGCTCACCAAAATTCCTAGGACAATTCTTTTGAGAGATGAATAAATGTCCGAATTGAAGAAATAAATAAATGTAGTCCAACTAAAAATAATAGGACATTCAGGCGCGGATCCATCTAGTACATTCACTCCACCAAATTAACTAAAACTACAAAAATTTATCCCAGCGCTTTCATTCTGCACAATTTTCAATAAAAATATACTATTTTCTCTCACAAAACATCGTATGAAAATACCATTTAAACAAAAACTAAAATCTAACGTCCCATTCTAATTAACTTTCAAACTACATCCAAACAAACCAAAATTTATTTCAAATTTGTGTTGAAAGACCTTAGTTGTCAATTTCAGATAGCGATATGCTATAACAGAATAATAGAATCCTAATTCATAGATAGTTTTATAAGAAAAAATAATTAGATCACAAACTAATTTGATAAGTAAACAATTAAGTTAATTATGCTCAATCTAATAAATAGATTTTCTTCTTCATTTTCAACACCCTCACTCCTACTCTCATGTGAATATTTTCTTCACCATCTTTGTTTTCAATCATTTCTTCAATTGTATGTTCGTCACATTTCACAATGAAATACTATAAAATCTACATTTAACAAATATAATATTATATTATAAAATATAAATCTACTTATAATAAAGATCATAATATACTCCCTCTGTCCTGACTCAAAATATCCTTTCTACAATTTTCGTTTGTCCCAGTCCAAAGTATCAATTTCCTATTTTAGTAAAAGTTAGCATTAACCAATACCAAAATATCCTTAACTTTTACCTAAATTTCAAACATATCATTACACATTAACAAAAATGTTAAAAACCTCTTACACATTTCCATTAGCTAATAAAATACTATTATTTCTTAATCTACTACAAAATTCCAAAGGGGCCGGGAATATTATTCAATTTAAAGGCGCTCCACTCCGCACCACTAAAAGCCACTACGCCACTGTTGCTTAAAGGTCTCCGTTCTGCTGCACCACTATTAGCACACTATTGACAGCTATAAGGAAGACTGTTAAGAAGTAAAAATGTGGAGAAGGGAATTTATTATCTTGCACGGCATAAGAACTACAATGAACCATATAAAACATCTTTCGAACTATGGCTTCTTTTCTTTTCGGTTTCTTCCCTCAAAATTCCCTCTAAAATCAACAATTTCATTTCATAAAACATCATATCTGACCCCCAAAAAAATGCGTTTAACTGCATGTAAGAAATGTTGAACCATGTGCAAATATCATAATCAACTTATACACTACAAGCTCTCTAACTTCAGAAAAATCCAAAATGCTGTTAAGTACAGAAAGCGTAAGAAAAATTGGAGAAGATGACAATGGCGGAACACACCTTCAGTCAATTGAGGCTTTCCATGGAGTTTCATCATCATAGTAATGGACGGTCCGTAGACATCCGCGTCCAGCAGGCCTACCCTAAGCCCCAACGTATTCGCCAGTGAAACTGCGAGATTCACTACAACAACAACAATAACAAAAATCTTTGAATCACAGTTCTTAGAGACGACGAAGACGACGACACCATCAATACCTGCAGTGGTTGACTTGCCGACGCCGCCTTTGCCGGAAGCGACGGCCACGATATCCTTAATCCCTTCAATCTTTAGATTCTGCTTCGGATTGGTTCCCTTACCACTCTGCACAGCCAAACCCCTCCGGCCTCCGAGCTTGAAGAAAATTTCATAACCACCACCGAATTCAACAAATTGGATCTCGAAATTGTAGGTTTAATCGAGGTTAGGATAGCATCACTTACCGCCAAATGTAATCGAATCGTGTTCTTCATGGAATCCGGCTAAATTCCTCCGCCTCGAACCTAAACCCTAACTTCCCCAATCGAATCGAAAAACGTAATCCCCAAATTGAGCAGCGGAAGGAGGAAGTGAGGAGGGAGTTTGGTTTGGGGGCTTTGGGAAAATGGATTTTCGATTCGATTGCATATCCAGGCCCACGATTTGAGAGAGAAGAATCTGGTGCCATAGCCCGTTGAGGATCAGATCGAATCGAATCGAATTGAATTCCTGTTAGTGGGCCTCCCTGCCTAGCTAGGGTTAGCGATTCAATTGACGATGGAAATGAAGAGAGGAAGAGAGCAATAAATTGGGGGCTTTGAGTGCGAGCAGTTAGGAGCTGGGAATTCAGCGTCGCCATCATCATCATCATCGATGAAAAGACCTTAGCTCTAACTCTGCCATGAATGTCGTCTGTAAATCTAATTATTTTATTTCATTTTATGTTGGTTGCATTAAGCATTTAAGCCGTAAGATTTTGATTCAAGATTTTAGTTTTAAATTTAAATTAAAATAGTTGTTTGATGTCTTTATAAATATATATTAATGCGATATTTTAAATGTAAAGTAGCTGACTTGCATAATTATTGAACGAAAAATAATAGTTAAAATATTTGATTTTATCAAAATAGTAAAATGGTAGATTTAATTGACTAACGAAAAAGAAAATTGATATATTTGTAAACTAAAATTATATACTACTCTATTTGTCCCAAATACTGCGTAATATTTGAGTTCGACACGAGAATAATACTAAATATGATCATTTGAATATTAGATAATGTAATTGGAGAGAGAAATACATATTTTTTTTTTTTATTTGAGTGATGTGATGAAATAAAATATATATACTTAATCTCTTTAATCTCTTTTTGGTATGTCTCAAACATCCAACAATATTTTCAAAATATAAAATAATTAATTATACTTAATCTCTACCTCACACTTTATCCCCTTACATCGTCCAAATAAAAAAATAAAATATATATTTCTCTTTCCATCACATCACCTCATTTCTAAATTATCCTATTTAATACTACTTATCTAAAAACTCGTGCCAAAAGCAAATATTGTACCTTGTTTGGGACGGAGACTAGTATATTTTTACATGTACTTGGTATAGATAAATAGAGATGGATACATTGAAAGTTTTTGACTTATATTGTCTGTTTGAATAAAAGAATCATAATTTAAAAATAAAGTATTATTATTATTTTAATTAAAAATGGAACAAAAATTAAAAAATTAAAAATTATCAACTAAACAAACCATATTTGAACAAAAATTTCCCCTCTGCCAAAATTCTCACTTACCTGATCTTCGTCTCCTAGTTCATTCACTCTCTTTTTCCCTCGACTAAAGTGTAATAAATCATTGGATAAACATTTTTTGTTTAATCCTGTAATTGGATTCTTATCATTTTAATCTCGTAAGTGGAGCATGTCGTAAATTAGTCCCATAAGTAAAAAGTTTTCGTTGTTTTAGTCATTCGGCGCCGGAGACGCCCACGTGGCTCGCCGGAGGTGACGTGTCCGCCAGGTGTCCCGCCAAGTCAGCGACACCAGGCGGACATGTGGATTTTTTTTTTTCATTTTTTAATTTTTTTTTAAAACTTATTTTTAATTTTATTTGTATTTTTTAATTTTTTTAATTTGGTATAATTAAAAAAAAAAATTTAAAAAAAATCCACGTGTCCGCCACACGTCACCTCCGGCGAGCCACGCGGGCGTCTCCGGCGCCGGAGGACTAAAACAGCGAAAATTTTTCACTTATGAGACTAGTTTGCGACAGGCTTCACTTACGGGACTAAAATAATAAGAGATCCAGTTACGGACTAAAAAAACAGTTTAACTTAAATAATTTATTCCAAATATATTTATTCACATTATTGCATTTTTCAGTTATATTTTAAACTGAGTTATCTAATTTATCAAACATAACAATCACTTGTTATTTTTTATTATATTTTTATTTATAATTTTATTATCATTTATACATACAAAATGCAGTGAAATACTCAATTCGTTCAACATAATTTGTCCATATATTTTTATTTTTTTTTGTCTCTCTCACATAATTTTTTTTTCTTAAATATGATTATACACAATATTTTAAATTTCATAATTTATAATTTTCTTACTCTTAATATAATTATGTTTACTAATATATTTTTCTTAACTGGTTACTAATTATATTTTACTTAAATTTTCGTTTATACAGTAATAGACCATAGTTTCTGGAAATTATAAAAATTGAATAGTATAAAAAAATTATTTGAAATATAAATCAACTTTAAGTTTGTTCTTCCAATGTACTACTCCCTCCGTCCTGATCCTTTTTCCTTTTTTGTATGTTCCACAAAAGATATCTCTTTTTATTTTGGTAATTTTATCAATTTTAACATACTTAACAAATATAAATTAATTTAATTAAATTTCTAACATCTTACGCGCAGGATCTACTCAAAAACCCTTTTATTTCTATATCTCTTCTCAATTAACATAATTTTTTTTATTTATATTTAAAACTTCTCATTTTTTATAAAACTAATTTATGGTAATGATAAATATTTATTTATTTATTTGTATTATATAAAAAATTATTATTTACAAAATGATATCCATATTGCATATATTTTTTCGATATATAATCTTAAAATTTTTAAAAATACCAATAATATTATTCACATAAAAAATAATAAACTAATATCATAATTTATTATTAATAACTTACTAATGTACATTACCTAAAAAAATGTGTCCCTAACAAAAGAGTTCATCACTCTCGCAGGAGGGATAATTTTTTCCTACATAATTATCAATATATATAATATTTCCTCCGTCCACCACCTATTTATCCGTTTACTTTTTGCACGTAAATTTTAGTATATTAATATTATATTGATACGTTGAACAATTGATATACATAAAGACTATTATACCCCTTAAAATTTATGGTATTAAATGGTGTTATTTGATGACATTTGTGTAATATTATATAAAAGGTGGAGTAATTTTATATTTTAATGGAAGATACATTTACTAAAAAAAATAAAAAATAGATACATTTGCGATAGACAGATTAAAATGACAAAATAGATAGATTGACGGTTGACGGAAGGTGTATTTATTTTATAAAAGTACCTAATTTTTTATAATTTACATAATTAATATATTGCAAAAAATATCTCACACTTATACCTTATTATCAATTTTGTTCTGTATTTATCTCCCTAGCAAAATATATCCCACATGTTTACAAAAGTAGCTATTTATGTCATTTGCCCGCGCGTGAAATTCACACCACGCGCCCTTTCGCGCAATCACGCGCGGCCAAATGATAGAAATAGCGACTTTTGCAAATATGTGAGATATATTTTGCCAGCAAGATAAATACAAGACAAAAGTAATAATGAGATATACGTGTAGGATATATTTTGCAATATTCCCTCTGTATATATATATAAATATAACATGAAACCAGAACACTAAACAAACAAAATTTTAGTTATTAAAAAAGGCGTCAAGTCTCATTAAAGGAATTCCCTATCAAGTAGGGGCCGGTGGTGCAACTTTGCTGCTCATTAATCCATACAAATTTTACTTTCTTAATTAAATATAAAAACAATTAAATTGATCAAATTTGTATAATGACTATTTACTATTTGTTTTACTGTCATTTGAAATTGAGTTGAAATAAAATATTTATTTAAATTTTTTAATTAAATTATAATTTGATGTGACATTTTATAAAAATCACTAATACTTTTTATTATTATTATTATTAAATATTAAAAAAAAAAAAAAACAAACAAACTCAGTCTACAAATTTCTAAATTAATCAATCTTAAATATGCCCTTAAGGATACAAAGAACATCAATAATTTCTAGGGGAAAAATCCAAAAAAATATTTTGATAAAAGTTTAGAATAATTAAAAAGCATAATATGTATTTTCACATTTCTTTTTAATGATTGTACTTTTTTATATTATATATATATATATAAAAGTGTGTTGATAATATAAAAATAATATATTTGTTATGAATAAATAGTATGTATATTATATATATTGTAATTTTTAATGCATTTTAATTCTAAGATTGATTGAGAATTAATTTTTTTATAATAATACTATTTAATTTATAGAAATATATATATATATATATTAAAGTAATAGTAGTATAATATCAAATCGACTTTAAAAGAACAAACTCATAAAATTTTCAAGAAATGGCACAATCATCAACGCACGTGCCACCACGTCAAGAAAATCTTCTAATCAATCTAATTCAATGCCAAATTATTATTATTATTATTATTATTATTATTATTATTATTTATTTATTTATAATCTATCCGTCTCAATACAATAGTCTTGTTTACTATTTTGTTCGTTTTAAAACAATAGTCTCATTTCCATAAATAATTATATCACTATAAAACTATCATTATTTTTTCATTATTATTACACAATTGCCACTACTTTTTACAATAACACACTCACAAAGGCAAAAAGGTCTTTTACCTTTATTTTTTTTATCCACTATCGATATAATATCAATATTTCTTAAATTCCATGCCAAAATCAACCAAGATTAAATAATTGTGATTTAACTTTTATTTAATTGCTACACTTTATTTCATTTCTAAATAATTAATTAACCACTTTTCTTAGCTGTCTTTCAAATGTGAATGATAACAGGCACTTGGAAGGCAATTAAAGCTTTATTACTTTGGATTTAATTAAATTACTTATCCAAATCCAATAATCATTTATGTACATATATATTTTTAACCAACTAAATATAGCAATAAATCTGAATTTCAATTCGCAATAATTGTTAAAATTATACTAACAACAACAACAATATATATATATATTTTTTTAAATTTGTTGTGTTTCCGAAATTTCATTATTATTTTTTTTTTCAATGACGATGGGAACCTGTTAAGTATCCGACGTTAAATGTAATGTTGGGATTTGTAGAAAAAAAGAATTGTATATTTCATCATATCGAAATTGGATACATACAGTCCTATTTTATAGAAAGATTTAAAGTATAATGAATAAATAAATAGCTACAATCTCTCCTAATATCAAGCGTAATCAATACAAAGATTTAAAGTATAATGAATAAATAAATAGTTACAATTTCTCCTAATATCAAGCGTAATCAATACTTTCCATAACCGAATATGGAAATACAATATTTACCAATATACATTCCAACACACCCCCTCAAGCTGGATCCAGCAGATTGATGGAGCCGAGCTTGCTAAGTAAACGAAGAAACTGTGTTGTGGGAAGCATTTTGGTGAAAACATCAGCAAGTTGTTCCGAACTTCGAACATAACAAGTAACAATAATTTTAGATTAAACTTGTTGTCGAATACAGTGGCAGTCGACCTCGATATGCTTTGTTCTTTC